TCCATATCCACTTCCAGCTATCTGGCCTTTCCAAAAACAACGGCGTAATGGAGTTTGAAGGCTTGAGACGAAAAGGCCAACAATTTTGGATTCCGAGTTGAAGGCGGCAACTGTTCGTACATTCGACACAGCCTCCCCCGCTAGCTGTGTGGCTTTAGCATGTGCAGCTTCCAGGTCTCCCGAGAATCCGGTCATGAACATTTTCTGACCATTTACATTGGTATAGTAAGAAGTAGTTTGCAATCCCAATACATAGAAGCTGCTTATTTATAATTAAAAAGAGTGAGAGGGAGAGAGAAATGATCAAGCTCTTATGAGGTCAGATAGATTCATAGACAAACCTGTAAAACAGTGGCTGCAACGACGACCGGAAAGACCGCGATAAGTACAAGAGCTAGGCGCCACTGCAACACGAATCCTGCGGTACAGGCAACCAGCATAAGGGCTGAATTCTGCATAATAACCGAAATCCTGTCCCCAATTGCTGACCTAACATTATTGGCATCCAGTGCTAATCTTGCTGCAACCCTAGAACTAATATTCTCTTCCTGATCGAACCATGCCATTTCGTTTTTCAGCACTGCTGAAAACATTTTCTCTCTCACGCGTTTCGTTAAGTTCTCTCCCACAACATCCCAGAAGAAATGCTGTAATGTGTTAAAAATAAGTGCAGCAGATGAAACCCCAATCAAAAGATAGCAGTATTTTGCTATTTCTCTTATCATGTAAGAATGATCTTGACTGTAGTAGACACTTAAAACTGCGCTCAGCACGTACGCGAAGAATGCACTGAGAGAGCCACAGACAACAGAGCCTATAGAACCAACCAAAGCATAAGCCCATTCAGGAGAGTTCATCTTTGCTAGGCGACAGAAGGAACTCGCTTGATCTTTAAATGCAAGCTTTTCCATCCTATAATTAGGATATGCACCATCTACAGAGAGGCTAAAGTCAGAAGTAGAGAAGTCGGACAATCGTCGTGAGTATGGTGATCGACCATAAGAGGAATTTCGGGTAATTATTGGTGAGCTCACGGAGTTTCTAGCACTAGATGGCCTGCAAAGGAAGAGCCAACCAAATCAAGAAAAAGTCATGGACTTACTCCAGATGGACTCACTACATATATGGAAAGTCCCATTTAAGAGTTACAATATAAGACAACATTGAATCTTGCAATAATGAGTATAATTATACTGGAATTACCGGAAATTTCAATAACCAATTAAGATGGGATAGATATACCTTGCACTACTCTTTCGGGCATTATTAAGAGCAGTTTCATGAGCTGCTTCTTGCATTTTGATAAGCTTGGCGTAGACGCCATTTTCTCCTTTAGCAAAGAGTTCATCATGAGTTCCAATTTCGGATACACTACCTTGTTGCAGTACAGCTACTAGGTCAGCCTTTCGGATGGTCGAGAGACGATGAGCAATCACTAGAGTCGTCCTTCCAATCATGAACCGATCGAGTGCCTCCTGTACAAGCTTTTCCGATTCAGAATCCAATGCACTTGTAGCCTCATCCAGTAACAAGATTGCCGGGTTCTTCAGCATTGCCCTTGCTATCGCTATTCTCTGCTTCTGTCCACCGGAGAGTTGTAATCCTCTCTCGCCCACCTGCCATTAGCAAATCTTATTTTATTCCTATCCTTTCAACACGAATGCTCGTGCATGCAATCTTTCTCAAAACTTAAAAAGACAGAATTAATTTGCTCTTTTCTTACTACTAAAAAAATAAAAATAATAAAAAAAAAAATTTATTTAATTAGAAAGCAACTCTATCTTACTCATTTATTTCTAACTTTGACCACTAAATGAATTAATTATTTTAAAACTTTTAAATTTACATTTATGCAATTTTTTTTTTTTTTTTATTCCTATATATCTGCCATTTCTGTTTACATTGTCAATCAGAGTGTCCTCTTTATCTGGTTTAAGTCGTTTATTATTTTTGGAACCATTTTTTTTTATAAAACTGAATCCCTAAATGCTCTCTTGGCATAATTAGTAGAAGTGGATTTGACAAACTCGACAATATTAAAAAGAAATAAATAAAATAAATCTTGTTCGTTATAGTGTCGAGTAAAGTCTAATAATGCAAAGGAAACATGCATTTTGTACATCATTCTATAGTTTATACACAAGTAAACATAAACCAACTTACACTTGCACATGCATTGTTGACTGAAACCATGTTACTTTTTATTTAAATGCATTACCAACCATTTCCACACATTTGACTTTATAAACAAAGTTAGGTTCGTTTGTTGACCAAACAAGCCATCACAGTCCTTGGTGCAATAAATTATAGCTAGTAAAATACGGCCCATCATCCACGGCCAAATTCTTTCCCCCGGGCAATAACTTGACCGGCAAACCCACACAACATGATGCTGGCTTGTTCTAGCAGAGTACATGCACATTTAACGTTCAAGTCATTGCTTGATGCAACGGCAATGTCTGAACGATGTAAAAACGACTACTAAACCAACCGAATATGGTAAGGTTTTGAAGCCCTGTGATGATATGTCCCTATTAAGCCAGTTGTATTGATAAATGAAAACTAGATGTTATTTTGGGATTCTGGATGGTGCTATAGTGGACGTGTTACATTGAGAATTGACTACATGACAGTAATATTATGATATAAATTGTGTTATACATACTAACCTGAGTATCGAATCCATCTGTAAGCTTGATGATGAATGAATGCGCATTAGCTACTCTTGCAGCCTCTTCAATTTCAATTAAACTCGCATCGGGTCTACCCAACAGTATATTTTCTTTAATGGTGGTGGCAAATAGTGCTGGTTCTTGGCTTACAAGCCCAATTTGCTGCCTCAGACATCTCAAATTTAAGGTCTTGATGTCATGTCCATCCAGCAGAACTTGTCCTGCACAGTTACTGTTTATTAACAGAGATTTTCACTTGCAAAATCGTATCTCTAAGGACAACATTAATCAAATTGTCTATAGTTTTTAACATTTTGAAGTAGAATTTACTTTTAGTTACCTGAAGTGGGCTCGTAAAATCTCTCAATGAGAGAGACCACTGTGCTTTTCCCCGAACCACTGCTTCCAACTAAGGCTATTGTCTTCGCGGCCGGGACAGTAAGATTTAAATTGTGAAGTATTTGAGCTTCTGGCCTTGCAGGGTAGGAAAAATCAACGTTTTTCAGTTCTACTTGTCCCGTTATAGAGTCGAGTTCCAAACCCGAATCGCTGTTTCTGTCAATGCTCGGTTTGTGATCGATAATTCGGTAGATTTTGGCAGCTGCAACCCTAGCCTTTGCAAATGCAGCCATGCTTGGAGCAGATTGTCCCAAAGCACTGGAAGTTAAACAGAACATTTAGGCTAAAAACACTTGAAAAAATATTGAATTTGCAAATATCTGAGGGAGTATTTAAAGAACTTACAGTCCACCTATCATAACTGCAAACATTGTTGCTATTGCAAGTCCTCCATTTGTGAAATGGTGCCTAACCAGATAACCTCCATACCAGAGAAGAAGAGCATAGCAGCAAAAAACAGTAAAATATGTAGCTCCCAATCCCATTCCCTTTGCAAATCCAGTCCTATAACCAATCCTTTGTGAAACTTTTAATGCTGCAGAATAGGCTTGCAATGCTCTTGATTCGCCAACATATGCCAATACTGTCCGAATTTGAGCTATTGTCTGCAGTTTGGATCAAATTCAGCAATACCCTTGTGCAAAAATATTAACGATTAAGTCCTAATCCCAATTAGAAGAGCAATAAGAAGCAAAATGAAATCATAAACACACACTTCTTGTTAACAAAGTCTAAAAATCTGATCCAGCATCGAGATAATATACGTAAGGTATGATTAGGATCCACAGAGTACAACAAGACACGAAGGAATTTTATCCAAATTTAGTTGGGTTTTTTTAGAAATTACTCAAATTCAATCACCTGTTCAGCAATATTTCCAGCTTGTGAAAGAGCATTTTGGCTCTTTGCAGAGAGCTTGCCTAATGTGGTAGTGTGGATGCCCCCAATTATGGCTATGAGAGGAACCACAGCAAGAGTTACCAGAGCTAACTGCCACACTGCAGTGAACCCAACAACAAATCCAGAAACAAATGTTGCCATATAGTGCAAGAAATTACCCAACTGCAACAAAAATTTCACGAAAAGTTCTAATCAGAACACAATTTTACGATAATAAACACCAAAAAGTAAACCCATCTGGGTTCTTTTTATACCTTCTCACTAATGGCATCTTGGACCATCACTGCATCAGTGGTAATGGCAAAAACTACGTCAGATGTCCGAACCTCTGTATCGAAGTATTGAATATCTTGGTTCAAAGCAGCTTCTAAGTACTTAATCCTCATCTTTGTTGATTGTCTTTCTCCTGTCCACATCCAACATGAAATCTCTGCAAAAAATCAATTACATAATTTCAATCAGAAAGAAGTTTCAAATCGAGATACGTATGAAAAAGGGCCCTCCAATCCTTGCCTGCCCATGAAGATGCCCATATTGCAGCTCCCACCACAAGAAAGTAAAATGCATACTTTAAAACTTCTTGTGTCATCTTATCGACATTGTTCGCATTTGAACCAAAAGAATTGACAAGATCAGCAAAGAATCTAAGGAACAAAGGCAATGAACTGCCATGAACTATGGCACCAATAGTCCCAATTGTCATGAGAATATAGTCCAACCCATCTGCAAATCTGAATAGCTCACCAATACCAACAGAGGGAGTAGGTGAACCTGGCTTCTCTGAATCATTACCATCTTTCTTCCTCCCTTTAGAGACAACCTTGACCTCCATTTTCGAATCTTGTGAAGACCCTTCTTTGACTTGAATACTAGTCGATGGTGTTTTGTTATTGTAGTTGTTGTTGGGTTTAATAGAAGAGGGAGATTGGGAGGCTGATTCTTCAGACACAAGTTCAAGGCCTTGCATTTCAGACCATTTCCATTGCTCTGTTATCTCTTCAACATCTTGTGTCATTGCTTTAATCTTGCAATTACAGAACCAAACCACCACTTATTTTTCCTCTCTTTCACACACTCGCTTTCTCTCTCTACTTTCTTTCTTTTTTTTTTTTTTTAACTGATTTTTACTTAAATTTCTACTTCAACGAGTTCTTGCTTTAATTCTTTATTTTATATTTGATATCTGCTTGGGGTGGTTTCGTCAGTTACCACTTCTGTGAAAAACACAATATTGACAGATGATGAGAGGATGAGGCAAGCCTAGATAGAGAAATCTTTGGCACCCCGACAAAGAATACTGTGTGAAAACTTATGATTGGGTTTTTGACAACTGACTGATTCTACAGATTATTATAATAAAGAACCAAAAAAATTAAATAAAAAAGGAGAGAGAGAAATGCTCATTAATTGGTTCATATAATTATTTTTAACAGTTAGTTAAAAATCATTAACGGTAACCAGGGTTTACATAAATTTAGAAGTGAAAAATGATTCTTATGAAAAAAAAGTATAATTAAAAAGTAGAAAAAAAGTATGAATTCAAGTGTAAAATTATTTTATTAAAAATAAGTTTAAGATAAAATAATTTCAAATACCAAACAAATGTTAGTGTTAATTTGACTTTGTGGTTTGGTTCGCAGAACAAAGTCTATGTTCAAAGAATTATTCCATTTTTCTTTGTGTCAGACTCCGATAAATCCGGCAGCTGCCTTTTTCTTTTAATTTATTTGTCCCTTTTTTTAGTTATTTTTCCATGTTGCACTAAAATATTAATTAAAGGTTGAATCCTAATCTTAAGGGTCCCCACCGCCTCGTGTTTAAAACGTCCTAAGGAAAGTAAATCGGGATATGTGCTCCAACAGACTAGAAAACAAGAGCTTACCCGTACATTGATACTTATAAAGAATCCAATTTCATATCTCAGAAATGGAGCCCTCACACTACGGCTGTCAACAAGGATGAAACTACCTCACTCATATCCTTTGAACCACTGCATTATGCCCCGAGGGCATACTAAAACATTAACTAATTACTCTTGAGTTCTCATTAGTTTTTCTTGATAAACTAGTCTCATAGCTTAATCAAGTCACGATCTCGTGTAGATTAAAATTTTAAGCTACAATAAATAATTAAATCTAATCATATATTAGGCCACATTTGTTTTTCATTCTTTGGCCAACAAATGAAAAATATAACCGTTATCCATCAATCAAACCACCATATTTGACTTCCTCTTTCTTGTGTGGGTTCCGTAACGTCTATATTTTTTATTCTCCTTTTTGTAATAATAGGAATCAAACGGCGGGTTAATGTTATTCATAATTTTTTAAGCATATATTCCATCAATTTTATTAAAGTTTACTAAAATGCATATCAAACAGGGATTAGGATAAATTTTTATAAACTTTAAATATGAGAATACTAATTATTATACTATGTCGAAGTTTCTAATGAGTTACTGTGTAGTCGTGATTTTAAAAAATTGAAGAGTAAAAGGGTTAAAAATTTAATATTAATTGGCATTTGATTGAAGTGGTAATGCCTTCCGATCAAAGGCTTCTTTTGTTATCCGTAGTCACGCGCGTTTGTCCTTTTACGCCATGCTTTTTATTGTTGAGGGACCATACACAAATAATTACTTTCTTTTTAATAATACAATTTTTTTTTCTTTTTTTCTTTTTGCCCTTTTCGATTAGTTTTCCTTAAAAGCAAATACTAGTATAAAATAATAAAAATTATAATTGTTGATAATTAAAAGTAAGAAAAGTTGCAAAATTGATCCCCAACTCATCGTCTAAGTAGCAAGCCTGATCTGAAACTTTTAGTAAGGTACAAGTAAACCCTTGTTTTCATTATAGTTGAACAATTAATCATTACTTACAGAGCCCGTTTGGGAGTAATTTGTCACTCCAAAAAATTGATTTTTTTACTGTTATTTCACTATTTTAACTGTCATTTTTTACTTCTTCTCTTACAGGTGGCCCTACTTTTCTCCTAACAATCAAAAAATCAATTCTCAAAATTCCTACCGAACAGGCCCAAATGCAATTTTTTTACTGATTGCATAACTATAATAAAGGATTGAGAATTAACTCATGAAGTTGCTAATCGAACAACATGTTACAAAACGAAAGATGCAATATTTAGAGGGTGTTTGGCGAAAATTAAAATTAAATTTTTTAGTATATTGTGATAGAAATTTTAAAATGTGTATTTGAAAAATTGTGAAACTCATGAAAGATACGGTTAATGTTAATTGATTAACTTTCACTTGAATTTTAATCCAAACCAAATATCCTCTTATTTAGAAAGTATAATTATATTCATTTTTCTTCAAGAATCCTCATCATAAGAATCCAATGATATATATCAGAAGTGAAGATTGAATTCCTCTTTGCCAAGGGGGAAAAAAAATAAAGATTGATTTGGAAGTCAAGTGCAAATAAAATTTGGAACCTTAGTTTTGTATTTACGTCTTGTTTGAGCCCCCGTTTTTTTAGGAATAAATTTTGTAAAAGGTAATTTTTGTAGAACGTGTAGAAAAGAAAATTTATTCTATTTGTAAAATTATTTTATTGAGAGAATGTACGAATAAAAATAAATTTTAAAGAATTAAGCTCAAAGTTGGCGTCCTTTGTATCCTAAAACAAAAGATGACTATAAGTCCACTTATAATAAAGACAAATTCCATGTGGGTGCAAAATACTTTTTGGGTTAGTGGATTAAAGCTAGATTCTTCAATTTCCAGTGTAACCCAACCTAATATGTTCCGTGCTTTTAAGTGAATAATTGATCGATCATTATATTTATTTCGTTAAATTAAATATATTTGAACGGGACGTGACTAGGAGAAGAATAAGATGACCCATTATTTTTGTATAAAATTATTTTGTTTTTCCCTTTGTGCCCTGCGTGACAAATTATCGACGGATTATCTGCCATAAAGGGACATCATAATATAAGCTGTATTTACTATTTAATTATGGTGTGGTTGAACAATCATACCATTGCCTATGGCTGGAGTAGAAGCTAAGGTTTGTCTGGCAAAAAACGGGGGAGGTATTAACCACACAAGAAAAAGAAAGATTGCCTTTGTTTGGGTTTAATTTTATTTTGCTAAAGTTCTACTTTTAAGAAATGAGCTTTTGACAGATGAGTAGTATTTATAAGTCTTACAAAATACATTGTTACAATTAATATTTGATTTTGAAAAGTATAATTTTTATGCGATAAAAATTAAACCCAAGTGGAGACGTAGCTTGAAATAATATTGTAAAAAAAAAAGAAAAAAGAAAGGATCGTTCTATTTTATACCTGACTCTTGAATTTAATGCTCCAACTCTAAACCTGCTCACATTTATCCTTTGCAATGGGTTGGGTGTCTTGTATTAACATCTCGAAGGTGAACATATTTGACTAATCTATAATACAAGTGTCTGTTACTGAGTTTGACCACTTAAGATATGGGCAGTCAATTCGACTTCGATAGCCAGGCTAGTCACTCTTCGTCAATTAAAAACTATCTTTGCTAATGTCAATGCGTTTTAAAACGTCGCGCTACCATCATCTCGGCACGACATTTTAATAGAAGAAGACACAATTCCTTAATAAATTCATAGCTACCTAAATGTTTAGAAACAGTAAAGGTTCGTTTGATTGCAAGAATGAAATTTGGGTGAAAAGAAAATGAATTCCAGGAAATTTAATTGCCTATA